CTGCGGACGAACATCTTGTCATATATTACTTTTGTCACATCAAAGTTGTGCCCATTGACGAAGCACCAAATCAATGCGGCTCTGGGCCCATTCACCTCAGTAGTATTGTGGGATGGAATCAAACGGTTGTTTATTAGGTACAACCAGCATTTTTCTTCAGAGGTGAGTGCGGAGGAGTGGAACTTCTCACCATATTGCATCCAAACCACTTCTTTTCCCGGTGCACAGATAGTTTCAATGAATCGCTGCCACTTTTCCTGTGTTGGGTTGCGGTCATATTCATAGAAGTCATCATAATCAATCACAGGTGGTGGTAGTTGGTATGCCGCCCTTATTGCCTCAACAGAGGCATTCACCGCTTTGCCCCATACTGTGACGATGCCATTGTGATGCTCAGGCGTGTTGGCATAAATTCCCTTACAACCATATCGGTCTCATTAATGAAAGTTTGGAGCCCACGTCTCATCAGTTTTTCATACATGTGAGGGCAATTTAGCTGGAGTTATCGGACTTCAATGCCCCTTTCAGGAATTGGCTTCTTAGAAGCCTTCTCAGCAAAGCGGTCCTGGGCTTTAGCTGAGACAAATTTTGTATCATCAAAAGGGTGTGCAGGTGCAGCCGCTCGCGACCTGGAGGTTTGTCTGCTAGTTGATGGACCGGTGGTGCGGCGTTTCTTTGATGGAGCCATGGTACCTACAAATCGGGAACAAATAAGTACCTCCCAACACCAAAAAGTGTGACGCACTGCGGTTACTCTGACTTCACGTGCATACGTGGTCACCATTATATAATTTCAGTCATTGAGGCCTTTTTACAAATACCTTATGGGTGTTAGGTACACACAACCCATTCCAAACAATTTGCAATATGAACCCACCACCAAATCTCCCAAATGTCACCAATCAAGTAAACAACACTCTATAATTCTCACAAGGCATAAATACTACAATAATTACTACCAATTCTACTATTAACCAAACAAAAATAAAGATAAATATCTAAAAGAAAGCGTACTTAAACATACGAAAATCTGCAGGGATTATTTGAAATAAAGAGAAAAAATTTGGAGCAAGATGAACATACCTTTAGTGAATGAAGATTAGAGAAGAAGGGGGAGGGGAAAGTTTGTTGGAGAATTGGAAAAACTTTGAAAAAGATGAAAAACATTCTGGAGAAGGTGAGTTGAAGAAGAAGNGGGGGGGGGGGAATGAGTTAGACTAAAGAAATAAATAATGGAAAAAAAAAACAAGAGCAAAGAACAAACAGTCGTGTATCAAGGGAAGAACGCTATTAGCGCGTTCATATGCGCGATCGCGCTAAATTAGCGCATCCAAGACAGAATGTTTTGCCAAGTAGCGCATTCAGATGCGCGATCGCGCTAGTAGCGCGTTCAGTAGCGCGGCCCAGGCAGAATGTTTGGGCTATTTTAGTGCACCCAGATACGCAGTCACTCTAGTAGCGGATCCATGAGCGCGCCCATAAGCGCGGTCACGCTAACTGGGCTTCAAAATCCTGAACTTTCACCTTTTTTTTCATTTTCGATTGCCTTATCATCCGCCCATTTTTACCTGCATTGGTTAGCATTTTCAAAAACTCACAATTAATTACTACTACGACCGTCAGGTTGCCTCCCAACCAGTGCGTTAGTTAATGTCGTGGCACGACGTGGATTAAGCTCGTTTAAGGCTCTCTCGACCTTTGCGGTTCAACAAGAATTATTACGGACAACTCTTTCATTTCCTCCATCCCCACATACAGTTTTAGTCGTTGTCCATTAACTTTGAAAGTGTTAGTGTCATCTTCACTGGTTATCTCCACAACCCCATACGGGAACACTTCGGTCACCTTGAACGGGCCAGACCATCGGGACTTAAGCTTACCCGGAAACAATCTCAACCTTGAATTGTACAATAATACCTTGTCTCCAGGTTTGAAATTTCTGTCCACAATGTGTTTGTCATGCAATCTCTTCATCCTCTCCTTGTAGAGTCTCGTGCTTTCAAAGGCATGATATCTGAATTCCTCCAACTCATGCAACTTTGCCAGTCGAGTTTCTCCAGCTTTATCAGGGTTCATGTTCAATTGCTTTAGTGCCCACCAAGCTCGATGTTCTAGCTCCACATGTAGGTGACAGGCCTTCCCAAATACCAATTTGTATGGTGACATACCAATAGGTGTTTTGAATGCAGTCCTATAGGCCCAAAGTGCGTCGTCAAGCTTTTTCACCCAATCAGTTCTTGTGGCGTTTACAGTTTTAGTGAGTACACTCTTGATCTCATGGTTTGAGACCTCTACCTGCCCGCTTGTTTGAGGGTGATATGGGGTTGCTACCTTGTGGTGCACATCATATTTAGCCAACAACTTTTCAAAGACACGATTGCAAAAGTGCATGCCCCCGTCACTAATGATGGCCCTCGGAGTCCCGAATCGGGTGAATATATTCTTCTTTAAGAATCCGACCACCACTCTCGAATCATTGGTAGGGAGTGCTGCAGCTTCCACCCATTTGGATACATAATCCACCGCAACAAGTATGTACTTATTACCATAAGAACTAACGAAGGGACCCATGAAATCAATTCCCCAAACGTCGAATACCTCAACTTGCTGAATTGGATTCATGGGCATCTCATGCCTCCGGGATATGTTTCCCGTTCTTTGGCATTCATTACAGCCCTTTACCCATTGGTGAGCATCCTTAAAGATTGTTGGCCAGTAAAACCCTGCCTCTAACACCTTTGCTGCTGTCCAAACTCCTCCAAAATATCCTCCATAAGGTGATGCGTGACAAGCCTGCAAAACAGAACATTGTTCTATCTTGGGGACGCATCTCCGGATCATGTTATCAATGCAAATTTTAAACACATGCGGTTCATCCCAGTAATAGTTTCAGCAATCACGATAAAATCGTTTCTTTTGAACATAGGAGAGTTCATATGGTTCAATGTCGCAAGCCAAATAGTTTGCAATATCAGCATACCATGGCACATCATCCACACTTGTGGCTAGCAGCTACTTGTCTGGAAAAGTTTCCAGAATATCCTCAGATTTAATTGCATTTTCAGCACCTTCAAAGCGCGACAAATGATCAGCGACTTGGTTCTACGTTCCCTTACGGTCACGAATCTCCAAGTCAAACTCTTGCAAAAGCAGCACCCAACGAATTAGGCGCGGCTTAGACTCTTTTTTATCAACCAAATACCTAATGGCTACGTGATCTATGTACACTATCACCTTCGACCCGATCAAGTAAGACCTGAACTTATCAAAGGCGAACACAACAACCAACATTTCTTTTTCAGTTACCGTGTAATTCAGCTGAGCACCACTCAATGTCCTACTTGCGTAGTAAATAAGGTGCATTACCTTATCCTTACGTTGTCCCAACACGGCTCCCACAGCGTAGTCACTAGCATCACACATGAGTTCAAATGGTTGCTCCCAGTCGGGAGCAACTACAATCGGTGTTGTGACTAGCCGCTTCTTCAGTTCCTCAAAAGCTAACCTGCAATCATCAGAAAACACAAATGGGTTATCTTTTTCGAGCAACTTACAGAGGGGATTTGCGATCTTGGAAAAATCCTTAATGAATTGCCGGTAGAAGCCAGCATGTCCCAGGAAGCTACGAATAGCCTTGACTGATGTTGGAGGTAGAAGTTTTTCTATCACGTCAACTTTGGCTCTGTCCACCTAAATCCCTTTACTCGACACTATGTTCCCCAAGACAATTCCTTCTTGTACCATAAAATGGCACTTCTCCCAATTTAGCACTAGATTCGTCTCGATGCACCTTTTTAGAACACGGGTTAAATTTGTTAGGAATTCATCAAACAAATTTCCCTCCACTGGGAAATCGTCCATGAAGACCTCCATAATATCTGCCACCATGTCTGTAAAAATGGCCATCATGCACCGTTGGAATGTTGCAGGTGCGTTACAAAGGCCAAATGGCATTTTCCTGAAGGCAAACACTCCGTAAAGGCAAGTGAATGAAGTCTTTTCCCTATCTTCCGGGGCAATAGAAATCTAGTTGTACCCCGAGTATCCATCGAGAAAACAGAAGTGTAACCTTCCTGCCAATCTATCCAACATCTTATCAATGAAAGGAAGTGGGAAATGGTCTTTCCGGGTAGCCAAGTTCAGCTTCCTATAATCCATACAAATTCTCCATCTTGTGACGGTTCTTGTAGGAATCAATTCGTTGTTATCATTCTTAACTACCGTCATGCCACCTTTTTTTGGTACACATTGAACTGGGCTAACCTAGCTACTGTCAGAAATTGGGAAAATGATTCCCACATCTAACCACTTGATCACCTCTTCTTCACTACTTCCTTCATATTGGGGTTCAGCCTTCTTTGGTGTTCTCTGGAAGGTTTATGTCCTTCTTCCAGCAGAATTTTATGTATACAGTATGCGGGGCGGATTCCCTTTATGTCTTCCATGGTGCACCCAATAGCAGTCTTGCACTCCTTAAGTACCTGCAAGAGTTGTTGAGTCTGCACATCTAGCAAACTAGATGAAATAATAACAGGTAATGTGGAGTTAGGTCCAAGAAACTCATACCTGAGATGGGCTGGCAATGAATTTAACTCCAATTTTGGTGGTTCTTCGATTGATGGCTTGGCTGGATGAGCTTCTCTGTTCTCCAAGTGCAAGGGCTCAAATTCAAGTGTTCTATCCCAGAACCCTCTACCTTCTAATGCCATTACCCATCTAGCCAGTTCTTCTCCCTTTATCTCATCAAAGTTCATCAGACACGCAGCAAGGGGGTCTTCAAAAGTTAGTAGTTCATCATCGGTCTCTACAATTACCTCCACGGCATCTATAAAAGAGCAATTGATGAATTCACTTGGTCGCCTCATAGATTTCTTCACGTTGAATGTTATTTCTTCATCGTTCAACTTCATCTTTAACTCCCCAGTTTTACAATCAATTAAAGCTCTCCCCGTGGTCAGGAATGGTCTTCCCAAAATTATGGGAATCTCTTCATCTACTTTTCAATCTAATATTACAAATTCTGCAGGGAACACAAATTTCCCTACCTGAATCAACACATCATCCAGAATACCATAGGATCGCTTTACCATCCTGTCAGCCAACTACAACAACATAGAGGTGGGTCTAGCTCTTCCAATACCCATCTTTTTATAAATTGCCAGGAGCATAAGATTAATGTTGGCCCCTAGATCACACAGTGTTTTAGCAAAGGCAAAATCACCAATAGTGCATGGGATTGTAAAGCTCCCTGGGTCAGATAGCTTTTCTGCAATTGGTCTAGTCACCACTGCACTACAGGTCTGGGTGAGAGTAACTGTGGCTAAGTCTTAGAAATCAAATTTTCAGGACATTAAGTCCTTCATCATTTTTGCATACTCAGGCATCTCTTTCAAAGCATCAATTAAGGGAATATTTACCTGGATTTGTTTTAGCATTTCCAAGAACATCTTGTATTGCTCCTCTTTTTGGTACTTAGCTAGCCTTTGAGGGAAGGGTGTAGGAGGTCTCTTCTTCCCAATCATTTGGGATCGATCTTTCTCAGCCGCTACAACAACCACTGGTTCCTGTGCTATTTCAGCTTCTTTCTCGATCTCAATTTGAATGCTACCTTCTTCCTGGGCAGGCTGGACTGTCACTTCTGTTAGTTTCGTTGATTCATCCAACTCTATGGGCACTGATATAAGTGTCTCAGCTTCCCTGACTTCTCGAGCCCTTTCTTGCTCCACATCCAAATCTCTGTCATTACGTAAGCTCACTGCCATCAACTGTTTCGCGACTTGATCTTTTGGATTTACCTTGGTATCTGCGGGTAGTGTTCCATGAGGGCGATTGTTTAGAGACATCAAAATTTGGCCCATTTGCATTTCAATATTCTTGATCGCCGAGTCATGTGCATATACTCTCTCAGTAATCTTTGCATTAGACCCAATGACATGTTGCATCATTGCTTCAAGTCTAGCAAACCCATCTTCCTGCCTTCCATTGTACTGCTGCTGAGGAGGGTGATACCCCTGCTGTTGATTCTGATTACTGTATCCCTGTGGCCTTGGGTAAGGTGCTATATTGTGGGGGGTTTCATACCTCCGATGTTTCCACTGTTGAACTGTGATTGGGTTGGCCTGTATTGCTGATTTTGCTGACTCTAATTCTAACCACCCTGTTTCTGGCCTCCATAATTAGACACATAGTTCATATCTTCAGGGTAGTGCTGATAATCGTGTCCTGCAGGCCACTGATTACCAATTGGCTGACAAATGCAAGATGTGCACAAGCCCCCATTAGTAGTATCTACAATATGTACCTGGTATTTTTGCCCTGACTCTTCCACCCTTTTGGTGAGTATGCTCATTTGTGTCAATAAAGTGGCCATATTTTCAACCATTGAATTGGATGGATCTAAAGGCACTGAGTGCACCCCTGGAGTGATAGGTGCATTTCTGGTTATCCATCCTGAATTCTGCGCCATCTTGTCAAGCAGACCTTGACCTTCTCTCCATGTTTTACTCAAGAATGCTCCACCCGCTGAAGCATCAACAATGTTCTTCACGCTGTCTGACAATCCTATGTAGAAACGTTGTCCCAACATCAAATCTGGAATGCCATGGTGCGGACATATGACCAGCATCCCTTTAAAATGCTC